ACGGAAAAAAAACTGCCGACATCTGTTGAGCGCAGGTGACATGTATATAAATCATTCTAATAAATTCATATAATAAATTACAACACAAATATTCATTAGGTTAGTGAACATATTTAAACAATATATTTATCGTTATCATTTATTTCAAATAATTATTGAGATCAGAATAGATTTATTTTTTTTTTCAACAAAACAAAACAAATAAATATTATATTCGATTTTCTTTTTCGTTATGTAACAACAACAAAACCATTATAGTTTGATGATGGCATGTGACTACTAGTTTGAGATTGCATAAATGTATGAGTTTGATGACGAAGCCAATCATCTTTGAATATATGAATAGTTAAAATTTGAACAATATTCGATAATCTATTCCATACATGTGCTAAAACTAATTGTTCATCAGCATCTCGTCTAAATAAAAAAGAATAAAGCTCGTTTTTGTTTTCAAAAGTTGATGATTATTTACTATAATTTAGGCTAAATAATATGTAAAAAGAATTGATTTCCATATAGTGAGAATCAGGCATATTCGAATGAGTGTTTGAAATCTCCTTATCAGATTACAGTGTAGACACCAACGTGGATATTTGGAGAAAAAAGTAATATTGATACTTCTTGCGATTTGAATAATGTCCGATGTAATCTAGCCAATGACCGACTTTTTGATTTTCAAAAGTTATTCTAGCTCTTTAAGAATTTGGCAATAGCCTAGATTCAAAAAATGATCAAGCTTCCGTTGTCATAGGATGGGAGGTCTTCAAGTGTGACTTGTCAATAAATAGTTTACGATGAGTTCAGTAGAAGTCTGTAAGAGTTGCAGCTCATATACTATCTTTCCCAAATTATTACAATTTTACTTGATTTATTTTTTTTTGCAAGAGATTTGTGAAACACTCGACCTACAAAAGTTCAACTCAAATAGATGTGTTGTTATTGAGATATCGAATACTGAAAACGATGAGATTTCTTATCTTTCCTTGTGATTCACGATTGTTTCTAGATATTCAATATTTCAAGAAAAACACATGGTTTAGGGTTGAAATTCCTTAATTTAACTTTTTTTACAAATACTCTTCCAAAGATATAAAATTTAGTAAAACCAGAATGGCTTGAGAAGGACAACGTATAGAGAAGAGCCCTTATAAGTTTCTACAAGTTTCATTGGGCTTTACTTATGACTAAAACATCAGTTCGATTGGTTAGTCACATTTGAAGATCTTTTCTTGTTGGAGAAAAGTATCTTTTTCGAAAGAAAGTAGACAAACATATGGAATAAATTCTAAATCTCATGCTCTATTGTTCTATATGAGAAGCTGTATTCTAACAGTTTTCACATTGGGAAAAAGAATGTCTGTGTTCTCAACTAAAGATTTTCACTCTAGTTGGTGCATATATTTAAGCACAGTTCTTAGCTTAATGCAACTTTCACAGAATGTTTTTATGTCTAACATGCCTATTCAATTAGCATACAAATGCATAAATCCTTCCGGGTTGAGATAAAACCATGGGTATGGTTGCGGATAAGATTGAGTAAATATCATCAGATTTTTTCAAAGAATCCAAAATAATGATTGTACAGAATACGAAAACATTTTTATGATAGTTGAGTTTACTTTTAAAACTTGTATGTTTAAAAGTAATATTTTAAACAATGATTTTCGAACTGATTTTGATTTCCATAGAAATTAACTCGTTAGTCAAAACGCCTAGATGAGATATCGCTTATGGTAATATCTCATTTGTGTACAGAATTGAATGCTCTATAATTACGTTGAGTTGGTGAAGCTATGTACAACATAGACTGTGTAGAAGAAAAATCTAAACATATATATTCGGAAATAGCAAAAAGTTCTAATTTTAACTAACTGCTTCTGACTCTGATCAACTATCTTGAAGTGGTCGAAAAATGAGCAACTATTCCGTGTTGTCACTTCCACACTATAGAATAAAACTTTTACTTTATTATGCAACTTTGTTAAACTTTTAACTTATTTGTTTTATAAATGATGTACTTCACTTATTCGCATTATTATTTGTATATGAATTTTACGAAGAAATATAGTAGTTCGATATCATTGGAAGGTTAACTGATAGCTATTCTCGAAAATGAAATTTCAAAAATATATGTCCAACGAAAGACAACATAATAGTGAGGGGGATGCAGTTATCATATTCTTAACTCTTGTAAAAGAAATACCCTCCATAATAACCCACGTAGAAGATGTTTTTGATTTATTCTAATCATTTTTCGGACAGCTCAAAGTAAGGCGATACGAGAATGCTACAAATTTTCACTCATATGAGTTAAATTCATTTTAGTATGTAAATGAGTATCTTATCTATCCGTTTACTGTGACATGAAAAGGACCATTGAGAAAGCATCATCATATTCAATAATACGTTTTTTTGTCCGACAAACTTGATTTCATTAATCAAAATAACAGTTTAGCAGTATTAGACGACTGTTATGGTAGAAAATTACATTATCTTGTATATACATATTTATCTTCATCTCCTCACAGCCGATTAGAATAAATCAAAAGAAAGAAAAAAAAAACAAGAATTTTACGTTAATTACTGTGGAGTATTTAATAGTATAGCTTTCAAAATAATTCGAATTTTTATCATATGTCTGTACAGACATCAATAAAACCTACATATTCATATGTCAAATTACAAAACTATCGAGTATTTTTTTATCTCTTACCGACAACGAACATGTAACGATCCAACAAGTGTTCCAAATGATAGAGCCCAAAAATGTTCATTTCGAAGTTCTAAAACTCCATCAAGTCTTGACGCTTCATGTAAACTTTTATCTAATTGTCCAATCATATGTGATGGTGTTGTTTGTAATAATATTTTTCCACTATATATTGCCATAGGAACCATTGTTCCAAATGTCATAAAAGCTATAAGTAATGATGATAATGTATCAACAAAATTACCATAACCCATTTTTAAAAGAAATGAATCAGATAAAACAATAGCTAAATCACACCAACAAAGTAAGGCTAATGGATTAATACGTGGTAAAAGAAGACGACTTAAGCCTGGTATATAATGACATAAACTTTGAAATATGTCACTAACATGTTCTTGTAACCAACTTGATGAACTAGCTGATATAACATGATCAAAAGATTGATTTCGTACAAAATAAATAACAATAAGATGTATAAAACATGTTATAATTGATGCTGGTACAAAATATTCAGTATGTATTGGTTCTTGTTCGAAAAATTTTTCAATGGATTCTTTAAGAATAAAAAATGCTCCTAGTATCGAAAGCATTGTTGATGTAAATACAGCTAATACTTCAAAACGAGCTGTACCATATGAAAATGTTGCAATTGTTTGTGTTGGAATAAAAAGTGATGTCGAACTATCACTTGTTGTTAATTGTTTTTTATGATGAACTTTTTTTGTACGATTTTCTCTATTCCATGCTGAAAGAAGAGCAGTACCAATAAAAAGTAAATCAAATATACATAAAGAACAAAACGCTTGTAAAGCCATAGAATTCGTTTGACCAGCCATTGTAAATACGATAATACAACATATTAATGTCGCTAATGTTATGAAAACTGTAACACGTGAATGTGAAGCTTTAAGAAGATAATAAAGTGATTTTAGAACTGATACTGATGTACTCATGATTAAAGAAGTAATCTAGAAAAATCCTTATAATAATAACAAGAAAATGTGTAAAAATTCCAATAAAAAAAAAAGTTTAATTCATTCTCTCTAATAATAACCTTTTCTAAAATGAAATTAAAAAATTGTAAAATAATTGTTTTTGCTTGACTATATATGATAGTAGTAGCACTAGAAATAAACTGAGCTCATCGTGAAAATATTACAGGAATGTGCGCTTGAAATAAATATTGAACGAATGGTATGCTTCAAATTCTTGGCAGTAATCAAAAGAACATAGCATCGTTTTTCCTTATATTTTATACTTTATTTTGTTGAAGTATATGTACGATAAGCAAATTCAGATCGAGAAAGAAAATTAGATGTTTCTCGGAATGTTCTGAGATGGACAAGATTAAAGTGAAAAATCGATATTCTCTTTCATATAAGCTAACTCTTCATTATTTTCTCATGGCTTGCTAATCAATTTCGTACGAAGCCGTCAAACATCCTAATACTTCATAAATTCCAAATTAAACTTTCTCACTATGTCAGAAGGTTTCTTATTTCAAAAATATATTCAACTGGTTATGCTTCGACAATTATCTTTCGATAATATTTTACAGATAATAAACGAAGATATGAGTCGAGAAAACCTATAAATAGAAATTATTGGATCTATATAACTTTTGTAGCTATTATTATTGATAAAAAAAAAATTTAGAATTCTGTACATTTATTTTTATTAAGGAAAATTCTTTTATTTCCAGACTAAAGACAAAAATAATCGACCACTTAAAATAATCACAACACTTCATATTTCTGTTGAAGTATAATAGTAATATTGGTTTACTTAGGAGCAAAACAAAAAAAAATGCTTTTTTTATCATTCAGTTATAAAAACCTTGAATAGACTAATTCCATTCTAGAAGAAGACCCTAGCGCCGTCTTGAGTATTTGCATACGTTTAATATTAATTATCTTATTGGTACTTTCATTTCCAATCTATCTTATTTGTCTAGATGGCACTTCTTACAATTAAAAATAAAGAATTACATTTTAGTTTCCTTTAATTGAATAAAATAAAATTTTCAATTATATTATCAAAACGAAAAAAAATTACATAAAAATCCTTCAAAGAAAAATGAAATAACATTTTCCTTATCTAAATGTTATTTTATCCAATAGTTGATTACCAACACTCAAAGCCATTTAAAAAGAACGATCAATCAGTCAGCTCCATAAACAAAAGGTACAGTGTGCTCGTTATTGACCTTCATTATTCAACATCGATGGCGCGTCATTTCATTTTTTTTCTGTCTCTAATTAAGTAAAAATTTTTCTTATTTTAGATTATCATGCGTTACACAATATTAATATTATTAATTTGTCTAATAAATATTTCAATATTAAAAGCTGATGATGATGACATTGATGAAGAAGTATCTATTGAAGATACTCCAACAACATCATCATCACCAACTATTGAAAAAACAAATGTACCAATAATGAAATCTTCATCATCAAATATTTATTTTGAAGATCAATTTCAAGATAAAACAAAATGGTCACGATGGGTTAAATCACAAGCAAAAAAAGATGGTGTTGATGAAGTTTTAGCAAAATATGATGGTGAATGGAATTTTGAAATTCCTCAATCATCAATTTATATTGATGATTATGCATTAATTTTAAAAGTAAATAATTATTATTAATAATAAACAAATAATAAAAATAAATAAATAAATAAATAAATATTTATTTTTTTTAGTCTAAAGCAAGACATCATGCTATAAGTTCGAATTTATTTAAACCAGTTGATTTTTCAACGAGTCCACTTGTTGTTCAATATGAAGTTAAATATCAAACAAATCAAGAATGTGGTGGTGCTTATGTTAAATTACTTTCTTCGGATGGAAAAAATCTTGATTTGGTAAATACTTTATAATAGTTTAATAACAACGATTCAAAATAGAACAACAAAAATAAGAGAGCACAGTTCGAATTAAATACCTTTCGAAAAATTGGTTTTTTTTCCGAATCCTAATAATACTTAGTTGTATAAAAAAGAATTAGTTTGACGAGTTAATCATAAATTTATTACTTTTAAATTAGAACCTTCCAACGATTAACAGCTAATAAAATTTTCCATCATATTCAAGATATTAGAATGTCAAATATTTATTAAACTATTATAATTTAACTTCATTAATTTATTTTGTTTCTTTTTAGAAACAAGTGACAGATAAAACACCATATACAATTATGTTTGGTCCAGATATGTGCGGTGCTGAACATAAATATCATTTTATAATTCGTTATCGAAATCCTAAAACTGGAGCATATAGTGAACATCAAGCAAAAAAACCAACAGAACCATTAGATAGTTATTTTACAGATAAAAAATCGCATTTATATACTCTTGGTAAAAGATTATGAAAAGAACAAGGCAAATTGATTATTATTATTTTTTATTTATTTAGTTTTATCGGCTGACAATAGTTTTAAAATGTATATTGATAATAAATTAATTAATTCCGGTAATTTATTAACAGATATGGAACCATCAATAATTCCAGCAAAAGAAATTATTGATGAAACTGATCGAAAGCCAGATGATTGGGATGATCGAGAAAAGTAAAAAACAGGGATAATTTTCTTTTTAAAAATAATCATATTTTTATTTATTTTAGAATTGCTGATACAAATGCAAAGAAGCCTGATGGTTAGAAAAATCATTGAAAATTTCTTATTATATACAATTTTTAATTTTTAGATTGGGATGAAACAGAACCAAAAGAAATTGCTGATGAATCAGCAACTATTCCAGATGGTTGGCTTGAAAACGAGTCTCCAATGATTCCAGATCCAGATGCTGTTAGACCAGCCGACTGGTAAGATAAATCTTCCAAAAAAAACCCAGATACATGAAACTATTTTTTCTTCTAGGGATGATGAAATCGATGGTGTATGGGAAGCACCAAGAATCGATAATCCTGCATGTAAAGATGCTCCTGGTTGTGGTGAATGGACAGCACCAATGATTCCTAATCCAGCTTATAAAGGTCCTTGGCGTGCACCATTAGTCGATAATCCAAATTATCGTGTATGCTAATTTTTTTTAAAATGATTTATCGAAATCTTTTTTTTCTTTGTGTTTCAGGGTAAATGGGAACCACGAAAAATTCCAAATCCTGATTATTTTGAAGAAACTCATCCATACAAATTAACTCCAATTGGTACTCTTGCACTTGAACTTTGGTCAATGGTTGATGGTGTTGTATTTGATAATTTTCTTATAACATCTGATCAATCAATAGCTAAACAATATGGTGATCAAATTTGGTATCCAAAATCCATTCTTGAAGGAAAAGCAATATCAGCTGCATCAGAAAGTGTTATTGATGCTATTGTTAAAGCAACTAAAGATCGTCCATGGTTATGGGCTGTTTATTTAGTTGCCATATTATTACCATTAGTTATTCTTGTTGTTTTCTGTTGGTCAAAGAAATCAGCAAAAAAACCAACAGATGGATTAAAAAAGAAAACTGATGAAGTTGAACCAGATTCAAATGAACAACAATTATTAACATCAGCAGATAATGATGAAGAAGTCGAAGAAATTGAAATTGATGAACAAGAAGTTAAACCTAATGTTGCCAATGTATCTGGTAAAGATGCACTTGAAAATGATGATGAAGGACAAGAAGAAGAAGTTAATGTAAGATTTTTTTTTCTTATCTTTTTATATCTTTGTATGGCTTTTTCTTTGTTTTATTATTTTTCAAGGCCACCGAAACCAATGAAGATGAAAGTAATAAAAATTCATCGCCATCAGCTAGTAATAAAGCTCGTCGTCGTTTACGAAAAGAATAAATTCAAAATTTCGTTTTCCTTTTTTTAAAATCAGTTTGTGTCTGTATTTCTTTTTCTTTTTCTCAACGACACTAAACAAAATAAAAAGTCCATTTTTTTTTCTATCAGTTATTCCATTCGTCTCTACTTCTTGTTTGTTTTTTTTTTCGTTGTTTAAGTCGGTGGATGTGTTTACTTTATTTGTTTGTTTGTTTTTTTGTACTTTATCATATTGCTCTTTCCCTTCTCATCTACGTAACAAACGTCTTCTTCTATTAGGAATTTTATCACTTCATTCTTATGTCTCTTGCATATAAAATCAAGATTAAAAGAAATAAAATGAAATGAAAAAACACAAGATTTTTGTATTTATCTAAAGAATAAATGGAAAAATATAATAATTCAATAAAAGATTGGAAGTCAATGACAGAGTGAACTCATGAATATGAGTAATGGACTTTTCTTCTTATGCATAAGATATAACTAGGGATGTGTAGTGTTAATGTAGTTACTAAACTACTAAGAGTGAGTTACAGATATAAGGATTTATTGGGGTGCGTATTACAATAGCATTGGTGTTCACTCAAGCACTGACTATGCTGGCATTTATGTTCACTACAACATTGAGATATCAATTCTATCAAAATATATCCTGTTTGTAGCAATTTATTCCCGTGCTTCAGTGTGCACTAACTACACTAAGTCGGTGTTCAGTAAACTAAAACTGCATATGCCTAGGTATAATATGTGTGACTTATTATACGATGTGTTTTGAAAGTCATCTTTGGCAGTCATTAGATTAGTGTCATGATATTCTTGTTAGAATTATGCACGAATCCGACTCGCAGTGTGCCATTAACAAATTTCCTGCTAGTGATCAGATATGTCGATTGACTTTGAATATGCAACATAAATTTTAAGGTTTTAATTCGAAATAGTTTCTTTTCTAATTTTCTAAAATTTTTCAATAAAACAAAAACACTTTTATACTTAGATTATAAACAAGATCAGTATATCGAAGCTGTTTAGAGATGTAAAGCTAATAAAAATCGTCTTACCAGTCAGTTTTAATATAATTTTAATCGATGTTTTCATGTGTTCGTAAGAAATATCTATGTCAATATGGCAGGCATTAATATCTACACTACTCATATCGACACGGATACACCCCCGGAGAACACATAAATCTTCATTAACTGAATCAATTGCCTACATAACGAGGGGCTGTCGTAGTAGACAGCTGGCAGGAATTGAAATACAAAGAATTATAATACAAGCTAAAAAAAGAACAATTAGAATCTCTTACAGTTTGAACCGATCACTAACCTTAAGCGATTGAAATTGAAACTACCAAATAGATTAATCTTCTTGAAATGTTTTGAAACTACCAGATGGATTAAACTTCTTGAAATTTTGACCAATCAATTTCATTAAGCTTTGGTGGAGATGGTACTTCCTTCTTTGGATGATTACCGGCACCGTAAATATAAACTAACATTTTATATTCATCCAATAAAATATACAGACGCTTCGATTTAGTCACTCAAAACTCCCACGTGTCATACTCTTGCATTATAAAATATTTCTTTGGTATCGGTTTAAAAGGTGTTGTTGATAAAAAATTTATAATATAATTGAATTTACCTTTCGGTAATGTTTCTTTTAGTTCAATTAAACTTTTATACACAGCTTTATTACTGGTGCCGACTTTGTATACCCCTTGTTTTTTATCTATTAAGCTTTATGGATTAAAAAAAAACAAGAGAATAGATTTCTTGTAACATACTTTTTTTTTTCATTATTTCGTTTGGTTTTGGATTCATATGTTCTGCCGAATAACATCATTTCATGCTCTTTTATAGGGAGAAGAAACGTGACTAATTATAAAGAATGTTGATTGGTTAACATTATAGTATGCTGCAAATATATTGTAATGATGCAATACATAACAAACAAAAGGCCTATTTCTTCCTCACATAACCAAATCATGATTACAAAATTACGAAGATTTATAAACAACTATTAGTCGCATAACCATGCGAATAAACATATATTTCTTTGCATATAGTAAATCATAGATGTATGTTGAGCAACAATATGTAAAATTAAAATGAGATCAACAATTGATTCATGTTTTTATTTAAAAACTTTTAGTTTTAGTTTTTTCATAATACAAGAGTACATGAAATAATAATAGAAAAAAGTTTTTTTGTTTTTTATCTTAATTTTTGTTGAATTTTCGGTCCTATGTATACGATCATCATCAAAAGATATAATATTATGTATGAGAAATGATTAATCAGAGTTAGCAGCGCCAACAAAAATCATAACAATAATAATATTATGACCTGTACCATCATCAACATCATAAATTTGATTTGTACCATTTCTTGATATAATAATAATTGACACTCTAAATACAGAAAATATGATACCATTTTCGGTAGTGGTTTTTTAGTAAAATCTACATATGGGAGTATACATGAATCTTTTAATAGTAAATAACGAATAATAATAACTATAGCAATACGACGACTTGCACCACGATCAGCATCATTTACTTGATTTGAATCATTTGTTGATGGTTGTATACATAGGACCGAAAACTCAACAAAAATAAAAAATAAAAAGTAAAAAACTTTTTTTCTATTATTACTTCATATACTTTTGTATCATGAAACAATTAAATCTAAAAAGTTTAAATAAAAACATGAACTAATTGCTGATCTCACTTTTTTTGCATATTGTTGCGCAACAGATATCTATGATTTACTATATTAGTCACATCTATATGGACATACTTTTATTTCGTTTTTGATGCGTAAACAATGTATAACTGAAAAAGTAATAAATAAGGGCTCAGCATAACTATCTATGTTATTTCTTCTCAATACCCTCACCATATACCACAATGTTCAACTTAGATTTTCTCATCCAGAAAGGCACATAAAAACTCCAGGAGGGTGAACATTTATTTTTGAGAGTACAGACACATAGTACAGAATAGAAGAGCTACAAAGTTCGGGATTGCGCCGTTCGTTCGGCTCTCACGCTGGATAAAACTGGTATTTCAACACTAATAACAGATTATTGTTTCATCAATACTTGCTCACACGATTGATTATTGATTATATTTGTCATCTTTATTATATTATGATACAGAAAAGTGTTACAAAATAATATAATCGAGAAACGTTTACATCAATATATATAAGCTTTATTTTGAAATACATATAGACACAGTTAAAAAACTGATCTTTTCTTTACCTTATCAATTTTTTATGATAAATTACTCTTGATGCAAATTTATTTTATCAAAATAAAATTTATTTGTACATTTCATTTCAAATCAATTAAGTTTAAATCATCAGAAAACGATTTTATTCACTTTATCCTATCGCAAAACGTTGACTTATACAAGAAAAATAGTTTTTAAACTAATAGAAACATCTTCATCCAAAGATTCTTTTTCTTTTATTGTCAAAATGTGCTTACTTACGCTATTTATTTTTGCTTTTATTTCTTCAAATGCATACGTAAAGATCAAATTTTATTTTGCATTTTGGGAAAAGCACTAATGAGAAACAATCGGAGATGGATGAGTTTGATCTGATGACGCTAACAATCAACAAAAATGAATAAAGTATGCAAGACTCTTGTTATTCAAATTAACACAGAATTGATAAGTTCAAAGAATTAATTTGAATAATGGTCTTGACTTACTGTCTATGGTTAATATACAATACCAAACTTGAAGTTTCCAGCCATACGTAAGTAGGTACAATGAAAAACCAAATAAATCTGTTGTTTATTACATTTACGAAACATTTTAGTGATAGTCGATTTGATACCTAAGATTCTTTCCATAAAATAAGTGTTTTTCTTTATCACCACTCATCTATAAATCGATAACAAATGATACTATCAACTGAAATAATACTAGTCTTTAACTATAAATAATTTTGTTTTTCGAATATATTTTATTTTTGGATTAACAGTTACTGATAGATATACTTAGACTGACATTATTTTTATACATTTGAAAATCTGACAAATTTGTTTTAACATTTACTCTTATTAATTCATGGTAATAATCACATATGAGTAAGTTTTAGTATGATTTATTTGATCATATACCTTAGAACTTCGTTTACTCTAGTAAATCATTTAAAATTGCTATAACTCTCAAATTTTCTTTTTTTTTTTTAATTTCAAATGTGCAGAATTCGATTCGTTTAAAATTTTAACAGAATAATTTTCTACCAAACAACTATTAAAGAAATGAAAGATCGATCATAGAATGATCAAAGGAGAAAGTGTTGAAATTAGAAAAATATTGAAAAAAGTGATGTCTTCAGCTCATGCTGACTTATGTTTTATATAGCATTTCAAAGTCGTTTAAATCGTTGAGTATAACTTAATTATTCGAATATTTGATCTTTTATAAAAATTTCTTGACGGAGTGCTGAACCATTTTCATTATATGTAAACCAATTCACTGCAGATTTAGATGTAAGAAAGCAATCCAAACCAAAATGATTTCTATTCAACGTCTTATAAATAATCTTGATGAATGATATTAAGAGTCTTAAATGTAATGTAATATCTAGATGCTTTGTCATTTACAATTGCTAAATAGAAAAAATGACACGATTACTTTTTTCCTCTTTTTATCTCTTGATTCGTATATAATCTATTATGCAATATTAGTGCTGTGACAAGATTAAAGAATGCCTTGTTAGTTGAAATTTTCAATATTTTTCCTTTCACATCTCCTATAGAATACCAAATGAAATAGTCTAACGTATAAATATCGTTAATAGAATTCATATTTTTTTCAATCCATATTCGAATGTTTTTGTTTCACATTGTTATTATTCATGTTTCTTTTTATATTGATTTTTTGGAGTATTTAATTTCGATAGATGAAATTTTCAATAGATTTGTATCAGTTTCGGTATTACTTCGAATTACTGTTCAGTCTATTAGCTTCTTACTTTGGAATCAAGTAACTGTGTACTCTTGCAGAATATTCGAGTTCATTTTTAACTGAAAACTCAGCAGACACTCGAGTTGTATCATTGTAGAAATCGCAGTTATTTGAAATAAAAGTGTGTGAACACCTCTTTATAACAAGGAGCAAGAACTTATTTCTGGTGCCATGAGCAATAACAACGTCTGTAATGTAAGTAACATACATTCTATTATTCACGTGTAGAACAAAAAAAATGAGGTTATGGGTATTGCATTATGATAAATAATAATATAACGCGTATAAAAAACGAGAATGGAGTAACTGCAGATATTTAAAATAAAGTAAAATATAATAACTTTAGACAACATCAACAGTGCTTGGTGTAATTTTTCATCATTTCTATGTTAATGGCTTGTACTTGGTATCAAATCATGTCTACACATGTTGACTTACCTTTAATTAAAATTAATTGTTAAAAAGGTTGAAAACGGTCACTTTGTGCAATCGATAATTCATTGCAACTGAATACTCATACGTTGCGAATAAGAAACTGAAAACTTCTCAATAATTAGCATTTTTTGCTGGATTTCAATAATACTCATATTAGGAAGATTACTGTAATGTTGTTAAAAAATGAAATAAGAAAGATAACTTTGTTTTGATTGTAATATAATTAGATTAATACAAGAATATTCATAATTTACAAAAAAAAATATTGATACAAGTTCTTCGTTAATGATTACTTTCCTATTTTTTTTCTATATTGAGTCCTCAATTTTTCTCGTCATCAGTTAATTATATCTCAAAACTTGTCATTTATGTATTCTGTCTCTATAGCTACATCATATTATTAGTCGTATCTGTATGGAACAAACATTGTCGTTCTATTTTTCTTCTATTCTATCATCATTAACATATATATATATAGTAACATCTCAAATAGGATAAGATAGACGACATATTGTACATTATATATGTAAATACGATTTAATGAAGAAATATTATTCAATATGATCATTAGAATTAGGGATCCTATTCTTGATGTTGAATCGATTTCATATAATCGAATACCTGAACTTAGACTAACACAATAAATTCTTATGTTTTTAATTTCTATTACACTTGCATGTTCAATTTATTAATGTAAATAGTTAAAGATTTTTTAATTTGTAGAGTATTTATATAATTAGTTTTATGACAGTTATTTATTCATTATCAATTAATTATCGAACAAATACTTATGAACCAATTATTATTCTGTGTTGGATTTTATTTTTTGCTTCAGGAATGCTTGTTACTCAAAGATACTATCCGACAGGTTTATTTGTGGCCAGAACTAAACATTATGTAGTGATTTTAAACCGTAATTTTGATATTTTTTTAATAGTTTGCATGGCTAGGTATTATTAATATAATTGTAATGTGTATTCTTGCCGTATTCATTACAGTTGAAATCATAATAATAACTTCTCAACCATCTAAACATATTATTCAAATACCTTTTACTGTAATTCCAATAGTTACATGTTTAACAAATGTTATTCTTAATGTAATGATTCTAGTTTTACTTTTATAATTATGCTTTATAAATTTTTGTCTTTTTTTAGGCAATTATCGTTATATTTTCATTTAAACTATCATCTTTAATTATGAAAAATACAAAGTCAAATGAACCTGAATGAATTTAATTTTTTATATTTCTATATATAATATCCTATTTTGAAAATTGTTCGTAGACTGTATCGTAGTATTGAAGAAGAAAATTATTGATGATGGTTGTAATATTTCTATTGAATAGGAAATATTTTCAAATTAGAAAAACTCTTTGTTCTTATTTAGAATTTTATGAAATAATAACATAGACTAGAGTGTCTCGCTCTACGAGGTGCTCAGTGTAGAAAACAGTTGTGTAAAATCTATTCCTATCATTTTTTTTTACCTGTGTAATAGATTTAACTTGAAGAGAAAGAGTAAAGAGGACATTTTGACCTGCATTTCCATTGATAAAATAATCGAATAATGTTACGTATGTATACGATATCTTGATAAAGTCCAATGCATATTTTGTGAGTTAATTGACTTTTGAAAAAAACGAACATATATATATTTGAAAGTGAAGCGTTTGTGTTTGTTGAATCGTAAAAGACATCTTTTGATCTTACCTGTAGTTTTTTAAAACAGAACTTAATAATCAGCTGAATTTTTACGCTTTAAAGTATTCATTATATCATTTTGTAAACTTAACTATAAATTTAAAGTGATAAAGCTTTTTTCTCTTTGTTTTTCATCCATCATACTTACAAGGTTATTATTAGTAACTAAAATAGATTTGTTGATTAGAAATGAATACTTGACAATATAGGTTATTTTAGTGTCAACAATTCAGCTTCTAAAAATTTCTAATATGTTTTTATCTTTAAAATGTTTTTCAATAAAAGACCAAATAATATTATTCTATGGACTAAATGCGTGAACTAAAATGTATGGGAATTAACAGATGTTTTGTTGTTGGTTATCTTTTTTAAGTAAAGAAAAAACTATAAAAGAGCTATTGTTTTAAGTAGTTGAATAAAAAAAAACAACTAGAGCAACAATTAAAAAATGATTCGTCTTGTTTTTCTTTTATTTATTACAACTGTTCTTTCAAGTTCAGTTTATCGACCAGTTGTTCTTATGCATGGTATTATATCAGCAGCTGATGATATGGATGAATTAGCTGGTTGGATTCGAACATCATTTCCTGGTATTTATGTTGTATCGATTGAAATTGGTAATGGCAAAGATGATTCATTTTTATGGCCAGTAGAAAAACAAGTCGAACATTTTTGTAAAACTGTTCTTGATGATGAAAATCTTCGTCAAGGTTTTAATATGCTTGGATATTCTCAAGGAAGTGTTATTGTACGTGG